ATAACCACAACCGGTGTCAAGAACCCAAGAAATAGCATGATTAGAATCGTTAGATTTGATTGCATATATACCTGCGAAAGATGGCTTGATCTTTCCTTCCTTGATGGCTTGCAGGTAATCCGGGCAGCTTCTCTTCCAATGTCCTATCTTGTGGCAGTGGTGGCACTCTGCCTCCTTCGGGTTAGAGCAGGGCTTAGAGGGATCAACTTTGGTCCCACTAGAAGAGGAACCATCTCGGGCTTTCACCTTTCGATAGTTATTTGAAGAAGCTTTCCTCTTCTTTCCCTTCCCTTGACCAATAGCCAAGACAGGAGCAGCGGATGGATTGGGAGTTGGTGCAACAGACTTGTCCTTGAAATTGCTCTCAGCAACCCTCAAGAGACCTTGGAGTTTACTTAGAGTGACCTCCTCTTTGTTCATGTGGTAGGTCATCCTAAATTGATTGTACATCGGAGGCAAAGAGTGAAGCACCATGTCGATCGCCAAGTCTTCGCCGAAGTCAACATTTAACTTGCGAAGGCGGTCGACATACCTTTGCATCTTTTGCAAGTGCACGGTAAGAGATTCTCCATGACCCATCTTGGCGGAAATCATGTTAGTGAAGATCTCGTAACGCTCTTGTCTCGCGTTTTGGTGGTACCTCTCCAACAAGTCTTGATGCATCTCGTATGGATACATGTCCTCGTAGGACTTTTGGAATTCGGAGTTCATGGTGGCGATCATGATGCAATGTACTTTCGTTGCATCTCGCTCATGGTTTCAAAGGCGGTGATTTCGGCGGGAGTAGCAACTTCGGGGTTGATTTTCTCGAGCTTCTCGTCGAGGACATACTCTTTATCCTCATAGCGAGCAATGGTGCGAATGTATCTTATCCATTCGCCAAAGTTCGTTCCATCGAAGGTGACCTTTTGGCAAAGGCTCATCAACGTGAAAGAACTAGCAGCAGCGTTGTTTGCGTTTGACATCTATAGAAAGGACAAAGATTGATTAGAACAAGAATCCCTAATTATCACCCAATAAGAAAAATTAGGGCTAGGATCCAACAATAACATTTACATACTAGAAAAGGGATGCCGTAATCTAACATGCAAATAAATTGAAGGTAAGTGAATGACGATTCACTAATTCTCCATCACAAAACTTAAACTTTTAGTCCTAAGTGTTTTTGAGAATTCCTAGGTTCGGATGAGATTCATTGAACTATTCAATGGCATGTTTAAATCTCGATATGCCCCTCTTGTTTGTGACTGGGATGCCGAGGATCACAAAGCGGGTGTGAATTACCATGCAAATTCACATGGTGCCTTCATTGTAACGATCACCTATTCGATGTGCCGGTAAACCACACACGCTCCATCGAACTATGATGAACAATGAATCACCCTTTGCCACCTTCGCTTAGAACCAATTAGTGTGCCGGTAAACCACACACGCTCCACTAACATCTTAGCAAGGTGCAAAGTGTAATTTCATGGGATTGCATCAATTCACTTTTCCTAAAGTAACTAAGATTGGGAAATTTTAAAAGAAAGTTTAGTTACTTCGTATTTCTTATTATACTTTTAATGAGAGGATGAGGTTGCCCTATCCTACCCGTTCGGCTAACGACCCTCCACCAATCAAGCAAGCGGTGGGTGTGAGTGTACACCCATTAAGCGCCATTTTATAGGCCGCAACCTTATACCCACCCTATAGATCGGCTTCGTGAATGAGGCCTACTAGCGGTAAGACTAGCATTTAGTTATACATATATATATTATTCTAGTAATATTATATAAGTATAGGGTTGCATTTTAAACTTTTCAAAATCTAGGGTTTGAAATTTAAGTTGTCTAAATTAAAACTTTTAATCACAAATATAAATTTCAAAACTTTAGGGTAGGTTTTAAACATTTAAAAACATAGAGGATCAAATAACAAATAATTACAATTAACAATTAATTTTCTAATTATCTTTATCTTGATTTCTTTGAAGATAATTACCAAAATAATTAATTATTATCATATAAGGAAATTAAATATTTTATTAGATGATAAATATCTTTAATTAGATCAAGATAACAGTCATATTTATCAAAAAATCGGATTTACATTGATCTAATATGATTAAGGTAATAAGATAATTATGAAAAAATCCCGAATCTGGCCATTCCTGACGCCTGGACTCGCCGAGTGCACAAGGGGACTCGCCGAGTCAGGCCTACTCGACGAGTCCACCTTGGAACTCGACGAGTCAGTGACTCAAAACCCAAAAAATCGAATTTTGCAGGTTTGTTTCAGTTATTCAAGCAACAATTTAAAGAAAAACCAATCTAGGCTCTGATACCACTGTTGGGTTTTAGCCATAAGAACTTTCCTATGTGCTCATGCAAAACCCTATTGCTTGGATCTAGGCTTTCTAATAAACATGCTTTTGAATCCAAGACTTCTAATGGCTAATTAGGTTAAACAACAATATTAAAACAGATCTAGAATCATACCTTTGAATCCCTTGTTGATCTTGTTTGTCTTGGAGCTTCTAGAGTCACAATTGTCACTCCTCTAATGGCTTACAAACACCAATAGCAAGCAAGATGATTTAGGAGAGAGGGGAGGGGATGAATTCGGCCAGAGTATCCTTGCTTAAGGTTGTGTATCGAATTCCCACATCCATAGGGTCTATTTATACTATCAGACTCCTTAAGGGTTTCACCCTAAACCCTAATTGGATAATCTTCTCTTAAGGCTATCCAAATCCATTCCATAGATAACCCTATGGACGATTTTGAGCTATCCTAAAGCTCTTAGAATCCGTCCAAGGTCCATCCTAATGGATTTACAGTCTAAAGTCTAACTATCAAACAATTGACAGTTTATACCCTCTTATTTAATTAATCTCTTTAAGTCACCAATTAATACCAATTAATTTATGACTTATATTAATCAAATAGTCAAATATTATTCCTTATAATATTTACTCTCTCTTAACAAATCATCCTTCAAGTTGCTATGGTGAAGGCAACCCAAAAGGACCATGCACCACCGAATATAGTTATAACCTTAGACACTATTCCAACATATATATATATATATATATATATATATATATATATATATATATATATATATATATATATATATATATATATTTGTAAAATAAACCCTTATACTTTATTTTTTGTAACAATGCAATCCTTGTGACCGACTATACCCGGTATACCAATCATATACAAATTTTCTTTTAGGGAAAATGACTTGATGGGGGTAAGATACTTTTTGAATTGTACACATTTAGTCCTTATTCTTTTTTTTTTTAAATAAACCCTTATACTTTATTAATATGTACACATTAGGTCCTTTTCACCAGATTCTACAGGTTTTGCTGATGTGGAAGCACAAATGACACTAAATAGCAATTAATTAGCTTAGTCACCGGAGGTGTGTGATCCTCCAGCAACAAGAAAAGGGCGGCGACCCTTCTCTTTCTCGTCTCTCTTCCTTCCAATCGAACAATAACAACGAAACACCCTTTACCTGTTGTGTTTCTCCGATATGTCTCTCTTTGCCTCCATCTTTGAGATATGTTGCCAGAAAAAGAAGAAAGAATCGACGAGGGGGCTACCAGAGCAGTTCCTCGCCGCCAACTACCGTCTCTACTTCCTCCTGCCTCCCCCTTCGACTTTGTTGTTTTTGCCATCATTCCTCCTTGCTACCAGTGATGTGTAGGAACACACAAAGGAGTCGTCGGAGATCGGGGTTCTCCCTCTTTTTCATGATGAATAAAAGTTGGTAAAATCTCGTTCTGGATATGTGGATGCCACATGGGTATTTCATTTCAACAAACTAAAAGAAAGGGAAAATGATTTGATAGGGTAAGATACTTTTTGAAATGTACACATTTAGTCCTTATTTTTTTTTTTGTAAAATACATCTTTCCACGTTAGCAAAACCTGTAGAATCCGGTAAAAATGACCTAATATGTATATATTAATAAAGTATAAGGGTTTATTTTATATATATATATATATATATATATATATATATATATATATATATATATATATAAAAGAATAAGGAATAGATATATACATTTTAAAAAATCTTACCTTATCAAGTCATAAGTCATTATCCCTATAAAGTAAATAAAAAAAAGAAATAAATGAGAAAAAGATTGTCTCTTTATGTCCGAAATGATTAAACGAGCAAGTTTCAAGCAAAAAAGGATCATAACAGTCAATTTTTAATAATAAAGAATAAATTAGCGTTTTAACAACGATTAATGTAATTACCCTATAGAGTAAATTACACAAATGGTCCCTATGGTTTAGGGTAATTTGCGTGTTTGGTCCCTAACTTTTTTTTTTAACTCGGAAGATCCTTACTTTTTGTTTTTGTTACGCGGTTGGTCCCTATCTTACCTAAAAAGACTATTATGCCCTTGATTTTTTTAATTTATCTAAATAAACACACCCCTAATCCCACCCCTCACCTTACCTCACCTACCCCATCATTTTTTCCTCTTTAAATAATAGTCTTTTTAGATAAGATAGGACCAAACGCGTAACAAAAATAAATAGTAGGGACCAAATACGTAACAAAAACAAACCATAGGGATCTTCCGAGTTAAAAAAATAAATTAGAAACCAAGCACGCAAATTACTCCAAACCATAGGAACCATTCGTGTAATTTACTCTACCCTATATTTTTCGAAGAAAAGAAAATTGTGTTAAACTTAAAATGTGGCTCCTTATTGTACACGAATGCTAAAATCTGACCGTTGTACGAAAATGTTATTTATTTATTTTTTATTTGCTTTTTTTACCTAGCAGCCTATCAAATATCACCTTTGCGGGTTAATCTTGGATTAAATAAGGGTTTTGACAGAAGCCCTACGCCTCTTTCTCCCCATATGAACTCTCGCACAAAAATTGGGTTTTAGAAATTGAAACTTTTACGGCTGAATCCTTCTCCAAAATTGTTTCTTCGATTAAATTGGACATAATACTGAAAGCTAAAATCAATGACAACATTAGAGGATGAACAATCGAAGGTAATAAACTCTTTCATGAGCTTGCGTCAATGGTTTCATAAATTTCCTTTATTTTCCGCAGGTATCTTGCAACAAGGATAGATTCAATAGAGGGGATTTGGTGGAAGTGTGCAGTGATGAAGATGGTTTCCAAGGTGCTTGGTTCGCTGCTACAGTGATTGAACAAGTAAGTTCAGGAAACTTGTTGATTCAGTATAAATCATTGAGGAACGATGAAGACACAGAGTTTTTGACGGAAGTGGTTGATAGCAACCACATTCGTCCTCATCCTGGTCAAGAGGTTGTTGACCATTATCGTGAGCTTGAAGAAGTTGATGCTCTGTACAACGATGGGTGGTGGGTGGGTGTGATTTCTAAAGTTATCGGCAAACAGAAATATGAGGTTTACTTCAGGGGAACGGAGGAGGAAATGGTGTTTAAACAATCTGATTTGAGGCGACATCAAGAATGGATCTCTGGTAAATGGGTATCTTCTAATTTGGTAGATATTTTCAAGAAGTAGCATGTTTTATTCCTTTCTGCTAACTATTTTGACAATCTTGTAGGACAAGAATTGGTATTTGTTAACAGATTAGGTCTCTTATTTTGGTTACATTAAGGATCATCTTGTATTTTGGAGGGCATTAGTGTCTTTTCATTGGTTACATCTCATCTTCACAAATATGGGTTAAGAGAGTTTCTTTAATTCGCTATAAAGTTCTCCTAATAAAATCTGAAGTCTACAACCACTTTTCTCTTACTCTTTGATCAAATTTTGAAAAGTAGAGAAATTGACATAGGGCGTAATTATATGTATATGTTTGTGTTGTTATGTACAATTTTTACAGCAATAAAACGGAGGATATTTGTTGCCAAATGGATCTTTAGTGTAACTTTTGTGGCTGATATCCTGTGTAAAGTGTGGAAAACTGCACAAAATCAAACACCCTCCATCTTTATTGGTGGTAAAATGGGTTGGTTGAGGAGGTTAGGTAAATAGTTAAAAAGGATTTGGGTTAAAATAATTTATCATGAGGATCAAAGTGTGTTGTGTATTCTTAGTTTATTAGTATCTTTTTCTTTTTTGGATTTTATAAATAATTAATGCATTATGTAGAGTTAGTCACCAATATGATCATAAATTGGAGGCCGATGTTGATCATCTTTCCAACAAATATCACCAAATGAATTCGTGAATAGCTCGTGGATTTCATTACACTCGCAAAACAGCCTTTATCACATTTTCTGAAACTTTAGCCTAATGTTACACGAGTAGCTCCCTCATGATTGTGAAGGTGTTTGGTTTTTGCTTTTAAAATGATTTTTGGGATTCTAGATTTTTTCAAAAAATTAAAAGTTTAAAAAGTTGTTTGATAATTAGAAAAGATTTTTTAAAATAGTTTTTTTGAAAAGAAGAAAAATGAGGCTTTTAAGAAGTCAAGTATCTATGATTTTTGACAACTTTTGCCTTTCTTCCTTTCCTCCCCTCAAAAGTTTAAACAAATGCATTTTAAAATTATCTTTTGAAAAAAGATATGAATCAAAAAGTTTTTTTCTAAAAAGGATTTTTTGATCTGAAAAGCTATCCCAAATACCCCCTATTTTGATCTTTATGTATTTTTTTGTCATGCATAAGTACCAAGTATTTCGCTAATAGTCTACGAAATAATTCCTTTTGCAAAGTCATTTGGTGTAATAAAGAAAAGGGAAAATGACTCTTGAGGGTAATTAACTTTTGCGTTTGTACTCATTTGGTCTCTTTTTCTTTTTCTTTTTTTTTTTTTAATTTTTTTTATTCAATATACCATCAAACTTGTTGTTTGTGTTCACTATAATCCTTTTGACCGGCTTTTGACATGTGATAGCCGGTCAAAGGGTTATGGTGAACACAAAAAACAAGTTCGATGATATATTGAGTACAAAAAAAAAAGTAAAGAGACCAAATGAGAACAAATGCAACAGTTGGTTACCCTCCTGATTTATTTTTTCTTTACTCATTTACAGCAAATCTCACGTCATCTCCTACTGATATTAATGATTTTATGAGATTCATTCTCGCTTCTCTTCAAAACATAACCTACGAAATGATATTATTCATACATGTACAACTTTGTAATGCACTTGAATATTTATTAGGAGAATTTTGATTAAGCAGACGTATTTCATGACTACATTTACATTTTCTAATCAAATGATTTATCATATCATGGATTCTAGACAAGTCTACAAACGAATGGAATCACAAGTGCTGTGATTTTTGAGTTTACTTAACTTTAAGATCGAACTCATGAGATAAGATACAACATCAATATATAGTTTTTTTTAGCGTATACAAGTCAAAAGCATGACGATTGGGTAAGTACTAAACGAAATTAATATGTTGTTTAAATATGTTAATATTATTAATTATAGTTTTTTTTATTTAAGGTATAGTATTATTATTTTAGCGTTTATATTTAGTTTTTTGTTTTAATTAATATATGTTTATTGTTTTCTTTATTTTTGGAAACGATCCATGAAGAGTATGATAAAAGGCATACAATGGTTGGGGGGGGGGGGGGGGATGTAAATGAGCAAGAATGTCTCCTTCACGCCCTCTGGATGAGACGCGGACATACTCGCGGAGGGGGAAGGAAACCAACCAACAACATAAGTCTAATCCAAATAAGCGGGCTTCCAAATCTTCCCAATCTTAATCCAAAAATACAAGTGACTCCCAATTTGTTGCATTAACCAATCAAATGCAACAATATAATGATTAGTTCGCGGCCACAATTCCTAACTGCCAACCACCACCAATTCGTAAATTGCTATTCAATCCTAACTTATGAGGAACTACCTCTCAGTAAACCGATGAGACTGAGGAAACCGAGGGTACAAAAGAAGAATACGATGATTGCTTTTTTGTACTATTTTGAACAATGTTAGTTTATTGCATCTCATTTTGGTATGTAATAGACTTGAATTTGAATAATATTGATTAATAATATTGATTGAATGTTTGTTTATTATGGATATATGCTGCAAATTGTATGAATTTTTTAAACAAACGTGAATGGTAATTAACAGAATGGTAGATGTGTATCATTTGCTTCTATATTACGTCTTTTGCCACAAAGTTATTACGAACCCTAGAGCGAAGTAGAGGATTTTTTTTTTAGATTGAGGTTACGGGTTGTCTTTCATGAAGAAAGAATTTTGTCTTGTCATTGGCTTCCAATTTGGTGACTATTTTGTTGCTTCTGGTTCTAGCGTTCTATATCTGTTAGAGAATGGTCTCAATGGGTGGTTGCCTAAATAGCATGTAACTTAGGAGTATTTCGCTTTGCTATCAGACCTTGATGAATTCGAAAGATATCATGTCGTTGATTTATAATTTCAGATTATCATTATTAATATTTTTTACAAATTTAATTGAGAATTTTTTTTATGTGACAGTATCCATGGGGAGGGGGGGGGGGGGGGGGGGGGATAATTTGGGATTAAGATTGATTGTACTCATATCTAGTTACTATATTCAATAAGGTTCAGAGGCATATACGTCCGGTCAAACCGAAAGGGAAACAACCTCAAAAAATGACTTACACCCTAAACGTTTTTTATACGCTTTTAAGGCAAGTATATGATCAACAATTTATTATTATTTTTGTTTTCTCACATTCTAATACATGATTCTTTCATATATGGATTCCTGAGACTTTTCCTCTGAATAGTTTGTTTGGTACTCGATAAGAGAATGTGATCCATCGGGCTATTGCATGGTCGAAATCGAGGCCTTTACAAAAGCCTCAGTCCAACCAGTTTCTACAAATCGAAGGCGTATGGTTACTTGTTTATTTAAATATTTTCTATTTTATGTATAATTTATGTTTATTTTTAGTTTTATGATTTTTAGGAGGATAATAGACTTGTACAAAAGTTGGAGCTGACAGAAGTTGAGAGTCGTGTTAAATGGTGTATAGTTAGTTCAGTGTGGATTGATCCCCCTGATTTTCCTGACACAAAAGTTCACTGGTCACCTTCCCTAACACTTTCATCCCAAAACTCTCTACCCATTAGTCTCGACAAAAGAAGGCACAAGTAGATGTTCCATCTCACCCATCACCACCACCACCACGTTCGGCCGCTGAACCATCAACTAATAAGGATTGAATTATCACTGACTTATAAAACAAGGTTCGTCAATTGCTAAACGAGCTCAATGAATGTCACGAGCAGTAGAGGTCACGCCATAAGCGTTTAGTAAAGCATAATGCTACTTTAGTATTGCTTCTAGGACTTATAATTAAGACTCATGGAGACGATGTTGGTACCTCGAAGGGTATGGAGGTACATTGTTAATTATTTCACTCCCACACAGTTTATATTTTTAACTTTATGGTCCTTATGTTTTGCATCGTTTATAATTAAACATTATTGAATCGTACAAGCACTAATCGTTCAAGATGTTGGTACTAGAGAGTACAATTACAATGACTTATAGGAGCATGACTATGAGTTAGGAACACCCGAACAGTCGATGAATGATGGCTCTGAGCAACCGTCTGCATGTATTCAATCATAGCATGTAAAAGAGATTTCGCAGGATGAATACAAAACACCATCGGCAACACCTCTTAAGCGTTCTATACGCCAAAAAGTTATGTCTACATGGTATAAGTCCCTATTGATACAAATGAAGAGAAAAGGTTTTGCACGACAATAACCAACACCGTTGGACAATCTTTAGAACCTGTCGTACACAATCTATATAAAGACGGGATGATTCGTTGTTGTTTACTCACCATTTTTTGACCGTTATTCCGTCGATTAAATTTTGGACGTGCTTATATGTAGATAGTCACGCAGGGCGGTTGGAATGTGATGTAAGTAATATTATTATGTGTTCATTAGGTACTATGTTTCTAATAACAATACTTTCTGTACTGCAAAATTTTTGATTGAGAGCACATCATGATGTGGAACTCATTGTTGATAGAGCGTAGACAGGATGACGCTCGGTGGATGGTTGTGTCATCAGCCTTCAACACTAATCCATTTAACTGGAATGACATGGATGATACACCCGTTTACCCAACTTAGGCAAACTGTGATATTATATAATTGTGTTTGGATTACATTACCTAAGTATTTATATACTATAATGTTATCTAATGATTATTTATTTCTAACCTTTTTTGTAGTTGTACATCTCCATCAATATATCAAATGCTCATTGGTTTTTTGGTGCTTTGGATTTGAAGACATTCAAAATAACTATATACAATAGTCACTAGAAGAGCGACTGTTGTTCAGAAACTGATGATTGATTTATCGGTATGCGAGTTCGCATCCACAGATTGCTAGTTGGTATCAACTACTGGGGTACCGAACCAACTGATTCAATTCCATTTAAGAGTTTCAACATAACACTCGAAAAAACCTCATTGGTACCACAAGAGATTGATAGTAGAATGGATTGTGGTGTTTTTGTGTTAGTTCCTAGAAATCTTAATCACCGGGAATAGTATTTTATAAAGTGTAAAAGGAGTCCATGGGTTATGTTTAGGGCTATAAACGAACTGAACGTTCGGCGAACCGTTCGTGAACTGTTCGACGGGAAGTTCGTTTATGTTCGTTTATTTAATAAATGAACGAACATGAACAAAAATTATCGTTCGTTTAGTTAAATGAACGAACATGAACAATGGTCTCGTTCGTTCATTTATGTTCGTGAACGTTCGTTTATGATGTTCATTTACGTTCGTTTATATTCGTTCGTTTAAGTTTATTTATGTTCATCTATATTCAATTATTTTTTATTATATTGCTATATTATATGTTTGTTTATATTCATATATGTTCAATTGTGTTTTTTTTTATCTTTGTTCGTTTATGTTCGTTTAGCATGTTCACGAACATAAATGAACGAACATGAACAAAGTAATTTGCTAAACGAACGAACATGAATAAACCTCGTTCATTTATCCGTTTGTGTTCGTTTATTGTTCGACTAACTTA